AATATTAATTATAATATTAAATATTAAAATCGTGCCCGAGAGGTTCGAAGTCACGATAGGTCAGAGCAGCGGCGTATTAAGCCGAAAGTTTTGAGTTCGAATCCCGCTCGTGACACTAATTTTTCATCTCAACCAAACCTTAGATAAAAAGAATAACTAATTCATAGTTTACGTTAAACATGTCAAAATGACTTCTTTTCAAATCACCATGCACAACAATTTTTTATTTCCACCTACAAATACTAATTATAATAAAATGACTATTGTAATCGTCATAGTAAGAATTATGTATATGTTAATGTAATAAAAACTCTGTAAATTTAGGCTTCTATATAAAGTTTAACTTCTAATAAAATGGTAAGTTATTTAATGGTAGAAAAGGAAGTCTTGAAAAATAATTTGCTCTTCATATCATATTTTAAATGAAAAATCGTGGCTGCGATTTAATTTGTACATTAATCAATTAATTAATATTTATGAAAGGTATTGGTTGAGATAGAAAAGTCAGTGTCACGAGCGGGATTTGAACCCACGACTTAAGACTAAATACGCCGCTACTCTACCACTTGAGCTATCCCTGACTTCGATCCGCTCGGACACTAACTTCCCATCTCAACCTCACCTCTCGAATTTTCCCTCCTTTTTGCCATTTTTGTACGTTAAACTGACATAGAAAAAAAATACATCAAACATTCTTGATATTTTAAAGTTTTATAGTCAGTGCAAAACGCAGTAAACAGAGCATCTGATTCCCACTCATTGAACCATAACCGAATTAAATAAACCAGTCGTCTACACCGTTAGAAAGAAACCATTTTCTTAGCCCTAAATAAATCATCACCGATAAATTTGATCAAAAGTAGAAACAATATTATCTCAGCTAATCAGTCATTTTTGTAGGTTTCTTTATCTTATTTCTAAACAAATTTTAGTGATACAATGTCATTCTTTGAGACAGTTTTACTTTTATTAAATTTCTTTTGTGTTATTCATGGCACTTTTATGGTGTTGTTTTTATCCGAGTTGTTTTTTTTTTCTAATA